TTATTATTGAATATTTTTACGCGTTTAACTTATGCTTTTCCCCAATTCTCGTCGCGTATTTTATTCAGATTTTCTTATATTCTAGAACCGAAAAAGATACTAATTCGCGTTTTTTCTTTTGATTCTTTCAATTTTTCACTCGCGTTCTACGAAAGTTTAGTTCAATAATAATATTGAAAATAATATAAATTCGCGGTTTCTCCCTTTCTGAATAAAACTGAAATAAATCGCGTTTCGAAGAACTTTTCGCGTTGTCCATTCCACAGTGACTCACACTTGGTGAGTTTGTGAGTCTTGCAAAATCGCTCGGAACTGGGAGGAAGGAAGGAAGGATGACGATCTGAGTGGGAGGAAGGAGAAAATGCAGTCAAATTCACGTTGCAGAGTTCAGCTGTTTAATCAGCGAACAGTGAGTTACAAAAATGGGTTTTTTTCTGGTGATTTGGTTTAGTAGTTAATTGTATTGTGTATTGCCAGCTCAAATATGAGTTGGCTGCCCCAAATTAAACCGTCTCAGTAGTGTTTCGCAATTAAAAATCGGTTTTCGGAATATATACGAGAATTTTGGCCGCCTGACAGCAACCTGTAAATCTGGCGTGACAGTGAACGTGTTAATAAGTAAGTTGTTGTTCAAATTATGTCGTGTTTTATGTCATTTTCATCAGAAAAATTAGGAAAGTTGATATTTAAATCGCTTGGTTGCCTCGACTCAGGTTTCATGCTTATCTTTTATTCGCTGTCGTTGTCTATGTTCGGCAAACTACAAAGGCGGGCGCGAGGCTCGAAAACGTAGTCCTTGACTCTACGAGTGTCAGGTTTAGCTTCCTTGCGGTCTAACTCTTGTGGAGAATATACTGTATTTCTCTATTGATCGTTGATAGGGAAAAATATCGAAAAATTTGAAAAAGAATTCTCGATATCCGTTATCGTAATAGTTGCCCTGTTCAATAAATACCGAAAAAGGTGATCTTGGTTACCGCGAGGAAAGAGGAGAGTGGAGAGGCAAAAATAGGAGAATCAAAGAGCACTTCCTTTCTTACTATTATCCTTCGCGTCGCCATATCCACGTGTAGCAGCCTTTTGTCCTTTTACATACGAGAGCGAGCAAGAGGAGATCTTTCCGCAGCGAGAGATAAAAAGGAACTATTTTACAAAGAGCAACGGATGACTCTGTCCTATAAGATCGGTTCCATTGTTGAAAGGGATTCTATATCTATGGGAACCTTGTTATTCTACGTTTACCAGAAAAATATTTATTATCTTGAAGATATTGCTTTGTGAGAGATGCAATCTTACGTAATATTTCTTCTATGTAATTGTTATATTAGCTCTGAAATTTTTCAAACAATATTCTATGTGCCATTTTGAAATAAAATGAAAATATTTTCAGTAATTCAATACAAGTACATTTTCATTAATTTTATAAATAAATGTAAAATTGTTAAATCCAGAAACATTTATATCTTATATTAACCCCTTGACTTATGATTTTTACTTTCCGATACTGCATCTAAGCGTCAGTTATTTACTATTTTACTACTGTATTAACACTCTGCACTCGAAGGCCCTTTCTACAAGGAAGTAGCAAAAATTAATGTAATTTTTCAAAACTAATATTTTTATTAGAAGTTGGTCTTTCGAATTATTTCACTGCTGAGATCTCTAAACATGTAGTGAACAATTCACGGAGGTCCATAGACCTGCTGTCTTGAAAAATATCATCCTTAGAGTTGCCTGTAATGGTAAATATAACGTCGTTCTTAGTCGCCTCTCGAGTGCAAACGGTTAAATAAGAGAAGCTAATGAATTACAGACTAATTTCATTTGGTAATCCTCAGTCTCATAAATTAAGACGAAAGTTAGAATTGAAATTAATTTTTCTTACTGACATATTTATTTTTATCACATCTGAATCAGATCTTTTATCAGATCAGAATCTGTACCACGAGTCTGACTCGTAAGCCAAAGGGTTAAAAGCAGAAGCACTTCTATCATAGATCCTAGGGGACAGCAACTGTTCCATATTTTTCCATTTGTTCAATTCAGATCGCGAGAAACTAAGTAGTGTAAACGTGTAGCAACTGTACCTCGTTTTTTGAGTTGATCCTCCACAACTACCGCAGAGATCATGAAGACGTTACCGATACTGCCGCCGACAGCCATCGAGGACAACAGCAGTAGTCTCGCTACTCTGGACCATGCTGAGGACAGTGTGACCGGGGAAATATCAAGGTCACTATCGAAAACGTTTTCCGCTCTGTTCATCCTTATCTCCGACTCGAGGCCCATAATTCCAGTTAAAGCGGTTGTTGCGCCTGTGTAGGTCGTCGTCGCGTTCATTCTGAAACTGAAAAAAAAGACGGCCATTAACGAAATAGTAAAACTGCGACGTTTGCAGCCGAGCACGAGAAACTTTTCGTTTCAGGAGCGTAAAGTAGTTTTAAATGAGAGTGTACGTGTAGGTATAGGTACAGAAGGCGAGAAGAAAGGAGGAGAAAAACGAGAAAGTAGGTAAAATGTATATACGTGTATACTGGTGTTCGTAAGTAGTAGGACACCTATTACGTTCGTATAGAAAGTATTATAACTAGAATGAATAATTTTTTTTTTTTGGAGTATTAATTTTGTCACGACTTTTAAGTGTTGAATAATTTTATATTAAACTTGGAATGAGGATAAGGTTTGCTTCACATTCGGTAAGCAGATTTCAGTAGATTTTAGTAGATTTCCATTGGTTACAAAATATTTCAACAGATGTTAGTAGAGTACAGTAGATTTTAATAGACTGCAGCAGATTTCACTGGATTTCAGTGGATATTAATAGACTTCAGCAGATTTCAGTAGATTTTAGTGGATTTTGGTAGATTTCAGCAGAGTTCAGTAGAATTCACTGGATTTCAGTAACTTTTGATAGATTTCAGTAGATTTTAGTGGATTTCAGTAGATTTCAGCAGATTTCTGCAGATTTTGGTAGATTTCAGCAGAGTTCAGCAGAATTCACTGGATTTCAATGAATTTCAGTAAATTTCAGCAAATTTCAGCAGAGTTCAGCAGAATTCACTGGATTTCAGTAGATTTTGCTAGATTTCAGCAGAGTTCAGTAGAATTCACTGGATTTTAGTAGATTTTAGTAAATTTCAGCAGAGTTCAGTAGAATTCACTGGATTTCAATGAATTTCAGTAGATTTCAGCAGAGTTCAGTAGAATTCACTGGATTTCAGTAGATACTAATAGATTTCAGCAGATTTCAGTAGATTTTAGTGGATTTTGGTAGATTTCAGCAGAGTTCAGTAGAATTCACTGGATTCCATACATTTTAACACTAGAACTACCAGTCGAGTCAGAATGACACTTTACCGACTTTACAAAAGTGAATTTTTACGTAAGTAAACCATAATTGGAAAATTCGATTCACATCGATACAAATAGAAGCATACCTGTAGAAAATAAATTCGCAGAGTTACAAATGATAACACTTACCAGTATTGAACATTCACGTTTTCTCGAAAGATGCAAATGGGTCATTTTGACCCGGTCGGTAGTTCTAGTGTTAATAGACTTCAGCAGATTTCAGCAGATTTTAATAGATTTCCATAGATTTCAGCGAAGATAGATTTCAACAGATCTCAGTAGAACCCAGTAGATTTCAGCAGGCTTCACATTCAGTAAATGTCCTAACACTTGCAAACGACAGTACATACGGTGAAATTGAAATTGCACGAAACATTGAATTATACTCTTTCAATTAAAGAGAGAGGTTGATAACACAAGGGGACAATACTGGTTACTAAAGTCAGAAAATTGAACAGCGTCATATTGCATCTCATGGATATTTCAAACATATATTAAAAAGTACTTTGTTATTTTATGGATTAACGGAATGACGGTCGTTTGGAGATTTGATGTTATTGCTTGCGCGTGCGCATTGAATATCGAAGTAATGTTTTCGATTAAGTGCTTGTCATAAAGGGGAGATAAAATTTTAGGAGAGAGTTCCAGTAAAATTTTATCTACACTTCTGCTGTTTATCAAAGCGAAACTACATTACCGTGTTGTCGATATCCATAAAAAATGTAAAAATTACCAACACAAATATCAATTAGATAAACCATACCTATTTATACGAAAAGTATAGAAATGAATGTTTTTAAACGTTATACTAAATCGTTCGCAACAGTTATTTTCACTGTGTCATAAAACAGTTCATAAGATCTCGCTTACAAGCTACTAAATTCTTAATAATCAACGTAATCGCATACTGTATTAACTTTTATGTAATTCATGCGCATAAAGTTGATACCATTAAGCAAGATTAACAGCGTGTCGGGTTACTTATCAGAAATTAATTCCCAAATAAGATACATCAGACCTCCTAACAGATAATTAAAAAGCCCAACGTGTAATTTCTCGCGAAACAGGAATTAACAACAGCAAAATGCTCGTTAATAGATGAAAGCAAGAACAAGGCTATGGTAAAACCGGAGGTAGACGCTATAAAAGCCACGTGCATGAAGTAGAGTAGAAAGATAGGACCGGTAATGTTCTCCGTTTTCTTTCTCCTTTATTTCCCTTTATCCGTTACATCGACGAGCTTCACGTGGAGCCGTTCATAAAGCTTTCAGTATGAAACGAAACGGAGGAACGTTCCTGAAAATTTCAACGCCCGTAAACATCGAACGTACAGAACGGCCCATTTACACGTGGTCCATTCACCTTCGTCGAAATTGGCGAGGCCGGTCTCAAACGCAAACAGATTTAATTCTGTACGGTTTGAACGGCCCCGGTGTTCTAAGAAGCAAGATCCAAGGGGAAGCGATTCGCGTGTTTCGTTGCAATGCAAATTTATTTGATGAATCTCCGCGGTGTCGGGGCAAAGTGGTGTCTCCCCGATCGATTCCTTAGCTCCGTCGCGATTATTGGCCCCTTTTTCAATTCGAGCTCGATTTCGCGTCCGGCTAATGAAAAAATTGCGAGAAAGAAGAGAAGAAGATAAGAATGAGGGAGAGGAAGAAGAATACGGACTTGTGCTGTTGCATGAAGTTTCAAACGTAAACAGTTCACGGACGGTGGTCGCGCTTAAAAGCAGGAAGAAAACCGGGTTGCAGCGATTCGATACCGGGCTATTAAGTTGCAGAGGGGCTTTCACGATTAAGGCTGACATGCTGACAACCCTAATTGTAAGGTATTGATCAACCTCCATTACAGAAGATGGCCCACTGTTCTAATAATCGTTCGCCACGATCGCTTTACGATGCGCCCTTCTCTATCGTAAATTTTTTCGGGGTCGTTTCACTGCAATAAAGTCGTTCAGTTTTAATAGTGATGTGCAGTTTTATTATCACGAGATGTCCTGTGTACGCCGCGGCGGCCTGAGCGAATACATTCAATTAGAAAAGCCATTTTCTGAAGGATGCTCTCTTCAGGGTTGTGTACTTCATTTATTTTATTGTATTTGTGTATTGTTGAAATATTAAAATGTTGTATTTGTAAGGAGTAACATTGTACTGTGGTCATTTTAATTTTTACCATCAGTTTTTATTAAATTAATTGCTTTAATTATACATGAATGTACTTATTTGAAAAATAATGAAAATGACACGTTTTATATTAGTATGCTTCTTGCGTTTTACTCAGTATGAGATATAAACTGTTAATTAAATACAAATTTTTGTCCTTCTGTTAACAGTTTATGGTAAACTTAAGTTTCTAATTAACAAATTAGTTCTTATGATACTGAAACGTTTTTTAAATTAAACTTTAGAAACATAGTGTTTCACCAATTATTTAATTAAAATAATTCTGCACACTTTTTCCAAAAATTAACTCACAATTAGTTTCATTATTCCAAATTTATAAAAATCGTAATCTTTGAATGAAAAAATTTCTCTGAATGCTACTTTTACAGTGTCTTCATTGCGGAATAATTTATTTGTGAAAAAAATTTCTGCAGATTTTCGAAGGAACGGTAGTCTGTTGGGGAGAAGTCGAGTGACTCAGGGAGAAGAAATTTCGTATTCTTCACCGCGGATTGTTTTCAATAATCCTTCCTCTTGGCTCGTTTCCAACGAAGAGTCACGAATAAGTCATCCTGAATTCTGCACATCGACGTTCAAATGTCCTAACATCTACATAACCTTCTTCAAATGCTAAATTTATATTTTCACCAGTTTTTACCGCAGACTTTTCAAGCTTAAACCTATATAAAAAAAATTATGCCAATTTTAGCATTTAATATACGTTTACTAGAGCAAATTTTTCCTTCAAAAATTTATGATCGGACAAAATTTAATCAATCTGTCAGTGCGATACTAATAATATGCAACGTATCAGTTCAATCGGTTTCAATTTAATATTGTAAAACATTTATTTTTAAATTCGTAGCTTAGATAAGGAAGAGTCGATAAGATTTACGAGCAACATATATTTTTCACTTGTTACGATGTTTTCGAGTACAAAAAGCTCTCTTCTTATACTTTCAAAGCAAAAATGCGATAAAGAAGCATAGCTTTATCACGTCGTATATCTTACGAATTATTTTTATAAAACCAAGCAGACAGTCTTAAACTGCTTTGCACAGTTAGGTTAACGAATACTCCGCTTTATATATTTTTCAAACTACTTATAAAATTTTAGGTCTTTAAACGCGATCAAATTCATCGTCACGAAGTTCTCACGACTATTTTTCCTCGCGTAAATTAATATTACGAAAATCGTTGCAATTTTTAAAGACTCTTTTGCTATGCTAACAAATTTCATATGTCTCTCACTGTTGGTACTCACCGAAGTAAGCATAAATTAGTTTCCAACGCATAAATTTTCATACAAACTCCCGGAACATTTGACGTTACATCAACATCGTTTTGGTTCCTATTGAAAGTCTGCTGAATCGAATTTTCCTGAATACATTAAAAACACTATGGGGAAACTTTCTAACCTTCGGTCGGTATGAACGAATTTAGAGAAATTCTAAAGGGTTAACCGAAAACGCGCTTTAGTTCTGTTAACGATAAAGGAAGCGAACTTAAATCCAGTTCTACGAGAATGCCTCAAGTATCCATGTCATGGCGTTAGTCAAAAGTTCATTGCCTTCATTCAAAGTAGCTGCATCCTATTCAGATTGGTTTACATTTCACACGAAAGGTGGGAAACCTACAGTATAGCGTGCCAGTGGCTTTTTATTACATGATTATCGGGTTTCATGGGATCGACGATGAGCTGAATATACAGTCGGGGACAAAATTGATCGAACTCTCTCGTCTACTGCAGATAAAAAAAAAAGTGGTAATTCAACGATTTTTTTCTAATTGATTTCTTATATTTTCTATTTTTTATCGTAGTTT